ATAGAGCTACAGAAGTTGATTCTGACTTCCTACTGGAGCCTCATCCACCGCTTGATCTAGTTTGTTGATGATTAGATCTTGTTTGGGATGTTTTCCTGGATTTTTAAGCACAAAATATTTTTATCATCTTTATTCAACTATACAACTAAAATTGGATTACACAAAATAAAAAAGATAAAAACCAAAAAAAACATTAAAATGTGTTGAGTGTCCAAGAAATGAATGTCATTTTGCGTTGGAGCTCTGTCTCTCACTCGTCTCTTTTCACGCGTAGCACTTTGCCGGTCATTTCGTCTCCTCGCCGCTGACCCTCTTCTAACTGTCGCGAAGAATCCAGAGTCGGGTTCGCAGCTCCGCGGCCTACCCACGTTTAAAATAAAATAAATGAATACAGTTAGGACGGAGTCTTAACATACCGCCCCCCTGTTGGAAGGTCCACATTTCAACCCATTTTAACGCACATGTAACAAATAATGAAAGTTCAGTTTATAAAGCTATTAGAAAATGGGGTTATTTCATGTCAATGGGTAAAACACAAAGTTTGTTGACACCGCGTTTAAATTGTCCAGTACTTGTACGCACTGTTGCTACTCTAACTACGTTGTCTCTACCCCATGAACATTCATCACACGACCTATCTGCCACTTGAGAGGGGGAAGATCATCCTTCTTGATAATGACCATATCACCGATTTGCAATTGTCTGCTGCTTGAAGTATCTACTTCGTGTCTGAGATATTCTTTAGACCACTTATCTCAGAAGTGCTGAATGATTTGAGTGACGTGATGAAAGCTGGAAATTCTAAATACGTTGTGATGTCGTACGTTTTCTTGAGGTAAGCATTTTAATGAGCAACCAATTAAAAAATGTCCAGGCATAAGTACCTCTAGGTCCTCAGGATTTTCGATTAGATGTGTGAGAGGACGAGAATTGAGGCAAGACTCAGTATGTGTTATCACTGTGTTAAACTCATCATAGCCCAACCGTTCATTTCCCATTACTCTACATAAATGAAATTTAACACTTCGAACCCCTGCCTCCCAAATTCTACCAAAGTGTAGGGACCGTGGAGGGTTAAATGACCAAATTATATTAACATTTAAGAAAAACTTTCGCCTGTAAATTTCGTCTGATTCCCAGGATTAGTAAGAAATTAATGAAGATCATTAAAATGATTCCTTGTCCCAACAACATTTGTCCCATTATCTGGGAAAATATTCTGACACAAACCCCTTCACGCTATAAACCTTTTAAAACAATTGATGATTTTTTCTGTAGTTAGGTACATCGAAAGCTAAACTCTAAACTCTAAATGAACCGCCTTAACCGATAAACAAAGCAGATTTACGTAATTATTTCCATTTGTATATATTGATTTTTTGAATAAAACAGCTTCATAAGCTACTTCGAATGCATCTGTAAAGCTATTATATATATGTAGAGCAATGGTATATAGGATGGTGTCTGTATGTCACCACCATCCTATATACTTTTGTGATATTATTATATAAACTAGTCTCCTCCTTTTAGAGTTCCTTGTGTAATACCGGGTGGTATTCTACCAAGGTTTTTTACCGTCGGGTTTTGCCGGCATCTCCGCATTAGTTTTATGTAGATTTGTTCTGGTCCATGTCCCAGCAGTCATTTTTATCTCTTTCTTCACCATCTTCTGTTGAGCCACAGAGAGGCGTTTTTTGATGACTGACTCAAAGTCTGTTTCTTTCGGAACACCTTCCGACTCAGTATTTGGGCGAAGACGAATCCGCGACTGTAATCGCCTCTCTGATCGTTTCCGTTGTGTTTATGTTTGTTAACTCAGAAGAGTTACTCAATTCTGAGCCCTTTTCTCAATGATCACTTTTTATTCTTATCTCGCTGGCTCGATTTGTTCTTGAGTTTGGACGAAATACTGCCAGACAATGCAGTGGGCTCTTACCACGCTAAGGCTACAATCTGAATCCGCCAGAATTCGGTAATACATATAAACAATTAATGTTCTAACTATCAAATCTTTGATAGCCATGGCATTTAACTAAAATTTCATCTAAATTGTATCTAAAATTTCATGTAAAATTCGAAAATAGAATACAAACATTAGGTTCTATTTAAATTTGACGTCTACTTTCGGTAGAATCGGAAGTGCCACATTCAGAACATTATATTTCAACTCAGCGTCATCCAAAACCTACACCTTCGAGTTTTCAAATATTTCGCATAGTTTTATTTGCCATTACATTTATTCAAGACTTGTCGTGTTACACCCTGTATATATATATATATATATATATATATATATATACATATATATATATATCCTCCTCCTCCTCAGTCCTAATCCCTTTTTGGATGTGGTGACACCAACAGGCCTTCACAGTTTTTTTACGATTTCCCTGCATCCTTCTCTGTCCTGGGCTAGTTGTTCGGCTTCATGTAACCCTTGGTTAATCAATATTTTTGTTTGATCTACCCAACGGCTTGGAGATCTTCCCCTAGGTCTTTTTCCTTCAACTCTACCCTCGATTATCAGTTTATCCATCGTGCCTCTTCTTCTAGCAATGTGTCCAAAATACTGCAAATATCTCTGTTGTATTTGTTTAAGCAAGCTATCCTTTACTTTAAGTTCAACTCAACATGCAGCGGTATACCCACATTCCAAAAGCGTCCAGTTTATTTTTATCCGCTTTCTTTAAGGTCCACGTTTCGGATGCATATGTGGCTATGGGAAAAATGTACACAAACCAGCCTTAGTTTTGTGTGTATTGTTATGCTAGAATTTTTCCAAATTGCTATCAGTTTCATCATGGCTGTTCTAGCAATAGTCAACCTTCTACGTATTTCTCTGTCACACCCTCCGTCGTTTGTTATTAGGGACCCCAGGTATATGAAAGTATTTACTACTTCAAAGCCCCCAATTTCTTTAATGTGTTGAAGATTATTCCGAGCTCTATCTACTATCATGATCTTTGTCTTACTCCTATTTAGCTTTAGTCCATATGTTTTGCTTTTATAAATATATATATATATATATATATATATATATATATATATATATATATATAATAAAGAAGAAAAAGTTATTTTTTATAAAAATTCTGCAAGGTCCACAATCTAAAATGGAGCCATTAGGTATCAATTATTTTTTAATTTGAACTTTTTTATTTCAAAATCCACAAGGAAAACAATTCCTGTAGCTGGCTGTATACCACGTATCACAAAAAAGAGGTTAGTCTTCGTAAGTGGGTATATTTATTTAAAAACCCTTAAAAGGACTACATCAAAAAACAAACGTTTTCGGACTAAACAGTCCTTTATCAGGTTTAAATTTTAAAATTGCCTAAAATAAGTATAAACCACTTAGTTAAAACAAACGTGGTTATGAAATTTTGACTATGGTTAAAAAGCAAAAATGGCTATACTTACTAGGTTAAAATGCCTGAGCCACCAAAATACATGGGTGAAAACCCTTTAAATTACATATAGTTGTAAAAGATTATACATCATGTTGTTAAAAAACTGTGATGTTAAGTATTAAATTAAATATGACTTCAGGTAACATACATGGCTGAAGTGAGTTCCAGAGCCGGAGAGTAAACATCTACACACGGAGAACAGCTGGAAACTGATTGACAATGTACCTATGAACGGTGTCGAAAACAAAATGTCAATGTAACATGGAACTGTATTAGTTATACCTAGTATTAACACAGCCAAAAGATTAAAAACATTATTTTGATGATTTTAAAAAATAATAACAGCAATCTAGGTGTTGGGATTTAAAAATTTTAGGTTATAATAGATGTGAAATCACCGATGGTGTTAAAGTCATGTTTAAGAGGATGACCTGTGTATTAGACAACCTATGTTACTTTTTGTCGTATGGAATGTGGTCTAAAAGTGCATTTTATGTTTGATTAGCTTATATATATGAAAATTATCCTTTTATGTTTATCACATCTAGGACAAGGTAAAAATTAAATAGCAAATATTTGAAGCTAATATAAGACCTCGTATTTAAATGACTTTATTTAAGACTGCTAGTATGGTGAAAAAATTAATAAAAATAAGTTTAGTAAATTGACAATCTACAGGCTGAAGAACATAAAATCAAACATAAAATGCACTTTTAGACCACATTCCATACGACAAAAAGTAACATAGGTTGCCTAATACACAGGTCATCCTCTTAAACATGACTTTAACACCATCGGTGATTTCACATCTATTATAACCCAAAATTTTTAAATCCCAACACCTAGATTGCTGTTATTTTTTAAAATCATCAAAATAATTTTTTGAATCTTTTGGCTGTGTTAATACTAGTTATAACTAATATAGTTCCATGTTACATTGACATTTTGTTTTCGACACCGTTCATAGGTACATTGTCAATCAGTTTCCAACTGTTCTCCGTGTGTAGAGGTTTACTCTCCGGCTCTGGAACTCACTTGAGTATAATCTTTGTATAATCTTTTACAACTATATGTAATTTAAAGGGTTTTCACCCATGTATTTTGGTGGCTCAGGCATTTTAACCTAGTAAGTATAGCCATTTTTGCTTTTTAACCATAGTCAAAATTTCATAACCACGTTTGTTTTAACTAAATGGTTTATACTTATTTTAGGCAATTTTAAACCTGATGATGGACTGTTTAGTCCGAAAACGTTTGTTTTTTTGAGGTAGCCCTTTTAAGGGTTTTTAAATAAATATACCGACTCACGAAGACTAACCTCTTTTTTTTATTTCAATTGACATCAATAATTAATATGAAAATAACTGGAATAATCAATTATGAATAGTTTGTTTGTGTAAATGCCTTGATACTAAGTAGAGTCGGCCTTATTGCCTCTACTATCTACGAACGATAGTAGTATTTCGGGTAAGAACCAATACGATTCGAACTCACCATACTCGAATTTTGACGCTTAACAAGTTGACGCTCTTACCATTGCACCACGTATATTAAAATATTACAAATTTTATCTGTTCCTTTTTTTATTCCAGGTGTAGTCCATCCGTAAGATGACTGAACTTCAAAAATCCTCAATGATTTCAGAAACAACTCCTCTGCAGGAAACCGTACTTAACAATACCTCATACATGTCACTTAACAAAGATAATAACCTTAACAATAAAAATTCTAAGAGAGAAAATTTAAGAAAGAAGTCGATTGCTATGGACTGTTTAAATAATAAAAATCATAAGGTTTCTACATTAACCGTATCAAGTATTGATTATGACTGTAATTATATAGAGAATGATCTATCAAACCAATCTACCTTAAGCAAAAATTCGAAAGATTCGTTGTTTTATCATGAGCCGTACGAAGTTAGACATAAACAACCCATAATGGGTAAAACTGCTCTCTTACGTAGATCACAAGTTGATCCATCTGATTCTTTTATAATTCAAAGCATTATTTTAAACAAATACGAAAATACTTTAAACTACTACGTTAACAGGATGTACAGCAGGAGACAGTCAAGAATGAGCAATGTGGAAGATGAAAATAATGACGATACTGTAAACGCTTTTCGGGATTCTCCAGCTGACTTAAGTGCTCTTGACGCGAGTGAATTAAACGATTCTTTTGTGAATAAAGAATTTCACTTAAGGCATTGTGCAGATAGTTTCAATGACGACTGTGATAGAGAAGTGTTAAATATGTCAACTTGTAGTACAGAAATAATAGATGTAATTTCAACTTGTTCCGAGTATGATCCAAAGAGATTTCTGGTTAATGCATTGGGAGAATTGAACAATGAAAACTGCAATGTAAGTTTAACAACAATAATTTTATGTAACAATAAAACACTGAAAACTTTTGTTTTTAAAACTTTCACAAAATTTATTTTATTTTATTATCACTACAGCTGTTTTAGCAGAGTGCTCTGCTCAAGTGATCTATTTTTGTCGCATTGTCACGATGATCTTTCTTTGTGGTTGGATGTTTTCTCGTTTTGTGAGTTCTTCTCCTTTTTTAGCTTTTTTACCTCTTCAGGACGTGGTTTGTTTTTTCTTTGGTTGATTGGCTTTTTTGCTGTGTGGATTCCACTGGTGGATGGCTTCGTGGGTGTGTCGGCAAAGGAGGATGCTGGACAATCCGAGGTGAAAGGGTTGTTGACTAAAACGGACCTTTTCAGAATTTTATTAGTAAAAAATATGTTTATGAATTGACTGAATTTATATGTATACAATTTAATTAATTAGTGAATGTATATTGTGACTCATATGAGGGCAGCTGTGGCTGTATGCAATAGACAGGTATCATTGTGCAATGGGATCGGTAAACCACAGAAAACCGATCCCTCCCTGTCTAGGCAAGCTCAAAGTGAGCATTTATTGATTGATTCGACGGTAAAAGAGAGAAGTTGCCTCCAGGATGTCAATGTATTCATCAGGGAGTTCGTTGATGGCAAGGGCTAGTAGTTTTGTGGGTGGGAAAGGGAGTTCGGGTTTAGGTTGTCCTTGGAGTACATTGCCGATTGATAAGCAGGTAGTTTTCAAGATATTTTGGGCTTTGAAGTTTTGGCCATGGATGGTTTTGATTGTGTAACTCCTGCTCAGAGAGGAGAGCCTATCATTGATGGGCTGAATATTCGACAGTTGATGAATAAGGGCGAAGGCGTAGTCGCGTCGTATGTTGTTTACCCTCTACAGGATTCTCAGTTCCAATCCTAGCAGTCTTTGTGTGAGGGAACGGTGGATCGAAATATAGAGGTTGGATCTATACTCGATCACCAGCCTGATGAATGTTTTCTAAATATGTATAAGTGTACGTCGGTGTGTCCTTCCGAACTTACCACAAAGAGCATTGAGTGGACCGACTCTGCTCTTAGCCTTGTTACAGGCTATGCCTAGATCGGGCCTTCAGTGATTGTGTAAACTCCACACTGATGTACTCAATCCGGTGGCGGAGTTGGTGTCAGTCGCCCCAGAGTCTAAGGTTATTTCTTCCGGCTATGTTGAGTGAGGTGAATCTGCTGCGACTGGAATGTCTGAAGAGAATCATTTGAGTTTTATTTGGGTTAGGTGTTACTCTCTATCTGCTGCACCACTTGTCGACCAGGTCAAGGTGATTTTAAGCAAACCTAAGTACTGAGTTTACGTCTCGTGATGTCACGACTGCGGTATCGTCTGCGTAGAGCAAAGTAAGTGTGTTAGTGTATCGTGGGTTAGTCAAGTCTGTGTTGTATATAGTGTATAATATGGATGCCAACACTGAACCTTGTGGAACTCTTGCTGTAGGAGTAAATGAGTCGGAGAAATTACCTTTATTTCATCGTGATTTGACGTTGACAGACATATGAGTGGATAAGTCTAACGAAAGAGAAAGTTAGGCCGATGTTCAACAGTTTCCTGGTCAGTCTAGCATGCCAGACTTGGTCAAAGGTTTTTGAACATCGAGAAAAATGCCTAGAGAGAGTTTGCCGTCGTTTAGACTTTGTGTGAAGACAGTTCATATGGAGTGATTCGCTTTTCTGTTATAATCGGTTGGGTTTCCTGAAGGGATTTGGGGGTCTCTTTTCTGTGGGGGCACTTGGCTGAGTAGGCCGCGTGGTCTCCGCCGCAGTTAGGGCACTTAAAGGCTTAAGTGGAAGGGTAAGCTGTGGATTTGTGATCCTGACCATAAGTCTGGCACCTGTACTACTTTTGTGGGCACTCCGCGATGGTGTGTTCATTTTGGCTGCACTTGCCGCAGTACTTGGGTACTGGGGGACGGGTTGGAATTAAGAGGGAGTTCAACGTGGAGACGTCCATAAAGTTTCCTGAGGTCAGCATCACCGTGTACTTAAGTTCACTGGAGGTGACCAACTTGACGAAGGTAGTGGAAAGGTTAGCGCGAGATATAATCCTCTATAGTCTGACTACGGGGATGTCCATCTCGGTAAAGGTTTTGGTGAGGTCGACGTCGGTATAGAGCTTGTCTACACCTTTAACAACCATCATAAATGTGGGGGTGGCTGGACGGGTGGGATTTCTGGGAGGGGGTTTGTGTTTCGGTGAGATCTGTATTTTAGGATCACCTAATGCCTCACGGAGCTTTCTGTGTAACTCAACATGATTAATCGGGTGGGTGGTATAGGAAGAACTTTCACTGAGGAAATCTAGTTTAATAGGAGTTCTTTTATGTTCATCACTCTGAAGAAGTCACGTTGTGTGGACTTCTCCAGAGAGATGTGGGTAATGGTGTAGTTGAGGGTTGTGTGGGTGGGTTTGCTGAGGTAGAGGGGTGAAGAAGGAGGGAGGAGGCTGTGGTCTAAGGGTATGTATGGCAGTTGCATACGATAACGTGTGCTAGGTGATGGGTTAGTATGTACTGTCGGTGTAGGTTGTATTTGGGTAGTTTGAGTAGTTGATGTAGGTTGTAGGGTAGATGCTAGTTTGCTGGTGGAGGGTGAAGTATGGAGAGGGGAAATAGTTGCACGGGACGGCTGAAGAGCAGCGATCAACCGGTTAGTGGTCTGCTGAAAGGGTATGGATGAGATCGGAAACAAAGGAGTCAGTGTAGGTATTCATAATAAGTGTGGTAGTATCTTCAGGGATGTGTAGGGTGGGTATAGGTGACGTATTGTCAGTTTAGGTAATATTTGGTGATAGTGTATGAACATTGTGGGGTAGAGTAGGTAAAGTGATGCCTGTGTGTGTATTGTGCGTGGGTATCCACGCCATTATCCAATCACCCACTAAGCCTACACTGTTACCGTCAGAGATGCCAGAAAAAGTATAAAGCACTAACCTGACAAATATCGTAATCTCTCCTGTCTTCTGGTGTGATACACGTGGCGGCTCATAGATTTCGGTTACTGCTTACACTCGGCAGCCTATTGCCGGACGCATGCGTCGATCTCACCTTATTTCTTCGCTTGTTTGCTTTGCTTCATCGCCTTTCTTAGACAGCGTAGACGTCCCAAGCGGTCAGAACTGAGGTTGACCTATGTTGGGTACGCCTTCTTCCACCTAAAAACGAAACATCACTACCGCACTTCGAACTAAATGTACTCTACTGTATATAGTAGTCAAATCTATTTTTTTGGTATTAGTTCACACTTTATAGTCTTCAACTGAATAAAATGAGGAGGGGAGAACTGTTTGACTGAAGTTTATCATTCAGAATTATGTCTGTATTTTTTAATTTGTTAGTTTCCATAGATTCTAATAAAAATAGCTTAAGGATTTTATTTTAAATGTGAAGAATTTGAAACTGATTATTAAAAGAGTCTCTTCTCCTGTAAGATATTTACAATTGTGTTGCTTTTCCCTAGTTCTTCTTTATTGCATAAGTTTATATGCATCATTTTTTCCTCAGATGTCCAAAAGCTCATTGATATATCTTGTTCAATTTTCGTTGATTTTATTAAATTTTATAAAAACACTGCATGACTTTAATTTTTGTAAAAATGTCTCAAGAAATTATTTTAGACCACTAATACTTCCTAATAAAAAAACCGTTAAAGATGGTTAGTCACCTTCGATGAACCTATTTGAAAAGTTTTTAAGAATTCTTTTTTAGCACCTTTGTCTATTTAAATATTTTCTACAAAAAGACATACCTATCCAATTTTATTTCATTTTCCGCTGTACATCAAGATGTAACAGTAGTAGGACTTGTGTTTTAAGACCCTGTGAAAAAGGTAAGATCTTTTTTATAACTTTTGTTTCTTTATACTTAGTTGTCACTTTTGCTTATTCGCATACCTGATTTGTATTTTTTCCATTTAATTAGTGGTTGATGTTGTACCAAGTTAGTCACAGGTTGTTTCATTGGAAATCAAAATGTATCCTTTTGGGAAATCCAAATTTGCCCTGATTGGTAATCCCAGTTTTCCCGCATCTAAGTATGGAGCCTTCATTATTCGACTGATGTCGAGATTCACATCCACTTGATCCGATTAATAGCTTTATCTGAGAAGTAAGTTATGATATAATTTACTAATTAAAATCTTTTGGTTTATAATATTATAGTACATACTTCATATTTCTTTATTAAATATTTAATAATTAATATTTTTGTGCAGTCTCTATTACCATGTTTAAACCAACATGAAGTAAGTAGTAAATACTTTTTCTTTTTGCGTATTTATCATTTAATTGCATATGTTGATTAATTTTCAACACATCTATTACAGAGAGGACTTAGGTTAGTAAGAAAGTTCTCATGTTTATGATATATAATTTTATTGATATTTGATATAATATTTAGTTGCTCTATTTAATTTGATGATGATATTTATTGTATTTGATATAGTGAATTTTATCATCTTTTTTTAATATTTGTATTTTTTGATTTGTTTTGTCAATATCCCATTTCTGTTTTTCTTTGAGTTCTATTTAAAAATATTGGCGTCCGTTTTTATTTGAAAATTTTTTCTCTTCCCTGTTTCTTTTTTGTTGTTTTGTATCTATTTTTTTATGTTTCTTACCTCTATGAACGACCCTGCCAATAATCTACCGAGAATCTGTTTCAGTGTTCTAGGTGTATCTATTTGTTTATCTTGTCTGTTTATCAGTGTATCTGTTCACTAGTTGTCAGATCCTCATTAATTATGTTTTTAGTTTCGATAGAGTTTTGAAACATTTCTAGTGTTTGCGGATTTTTAAACAAGTTAATATTATTGCATGAGTTATTTTGGTGCTTCGCTCCTGCATAACATTTGAGTTTCTACCGCGAATCATTGTACCAACTAGAGAGTGGTCTGAATCAATGTTGGTGCTTCGGTAAGTGCGGGCATCCATAATGTTGGAGAAGTGTCTAGCATCTATAAGCACATGATTAATTCGGTTATTTGTTGAGCAATCGGGTAAGACCAAACCACTACATGTATCCTACTTTCTATGATCATGTTCTTGGCGGCTGCAAAACTGACTACTTTGTTTCGATTCGAATTGGTGTTATTGTACAGATTATGCTTACCAGTATGTTGTAGATATAATTCCTCCCTTCCGATTTTTGCTTTCAAGTCTCCGACTACTATCTTAATATCATTTCAGGGACAAGTGTTATGCGTGCTTTGGAATTCATCATAGAACTGGTCTTTTTCTTCGTTTTCCTGTTCCTTGGTTGGTGCGTGTACGTTAATAGAACTAATATTAAAGAACTTGCAATTGTCAATTCATCTTTGCCAATTGTACCAATTCTGGTTTTAACTGATGTTCATCAAAATTAATATTGTATTCCTTGAACCAATCTATAATGTCTAAGTTTAACCATTTAGCGGAAGGTTGTTTATTTATGGTAGAAGAGCATGGTCGAGCGAGCACTACAAACATGCTGCAGTCCGACAGGGTGATACTTTATCGCCTAAACTGTTTACCACAGAGTACTAAAATATGCTTGTAAAAAACTTAACTATGAAGAGAAATGCTTGAACATTGACGGTAGAAGATTAACAAATTTGAAATTCGCAGACGACATAGTTTTGTTCTTGGACAACCTCAAGGAGATATGTACAATGCTACATAAACTTCAGTTAGTGTGTGCCAGTGCGGGTCTTAAAATAAACATCTCCAAAACAAAATTCATGACGAACCTAGTACCTAGCCTGAACCCTGAAATATCAATATTGGAGACAAAGAAGTATAGCTGGTGGAAAATACAAATACATGGTGCAGAAACCTTGCCATTGACAGCTACAAGTTCTAAAATGCTGCAAACAGCTCAGAGGAAATTTCCAATTTCTATATTTTTCTGTCATATGCAGTTGCCTCTTCTAAGTCTCTTAGAAGAACTTAAGTATTTTAGTCTACAGACCCTAGTATTTATCGTAAGATTATTTAGAAATATTTTATAATTTTAGGCTACCGTAAATACACAACACTGCGATGAAAGTGTTGGAACATCGCATCTTTCATCTTTACTCTCCACAAATGATTCTATGAAACGAAAACTAAAACGAAAAAAATCGCATGATGTATTATCAGAAGATTGCAGTGAAAACGGAAGTACAGATTCCATAATTGAGCAGTACAAACAAGAGTTGTTCCAACAGCACTCTACCATATTCCAAGTAACCAAAGCGCTCAAATATTGTAAAGCATCGAAACAATTTATTGCTGGAAAGGAGAGGATTGAAGCAGAAAAGATTCTTCTAGTTGCTAGTAAGTATAAATTTACATCAAGTAAAAAACTGAATATCCCTTCTCTCTAATCCAAAAGGATTACAAATGAAGAAATTTGAAATTATATTTTTAATAAAATATACCACTACTAGAAGTTTTTACTTCTATGTGAGTTTTTTAAACTACAGTATACAGCCAACCACTGGGGTCATCGATCGAGTTATAAGCAATATTTAATCGAGTGACGTATATGTGACATGAAAGATTACATTCCAGTGACATTTATGCCATTTATGTGACATGTGACGTTAACATTTAATCGAGATTTGACATTTGTCATTTGACATTTGTATTTAAGTGACATTTAACATAGTAAGTAACATTGACATTTATATGTTATTTGTCTGATATGTGACATTTGACGTAAAAAGTTACATTTATATGACATTAAATATCTGAGAAAACAAGACATTTTTCGTCTTCTTCGTCTTATGTAACATGTCACACTTGACATAAAAAGAGATATTTATGTAACTTTTAATTAACATTTGTTATTTGTCGTTTGACACTTGGCGTTCATGTGACATTTATGTGACATTTATTTCACATTTATATGACATTCAATTCAAATTCATACATTACATGTTTGTATTGTTCTAAAGCTATTTTCTTGTGGCTTTTTAAATTAATTACTATTTAACTGGGAATAAGCCACAATTAAAGGTTAAATACGTTTATTAACGTTTTAATTTCCACTTCGGAAATCGTTCTCAAAATACAAACAGTGTTTGTATTTTGAGAAATATTTCCGAAGTGGAAATTGAAACGTCAATAAACGTATTTAACCTTTAATTGTGGCTTATTCGCAGTTTAATAGTAATTAATTAAATGTTTGTATTTTAAAAATGATTTCCGAAGTGGAAATTGAAACGTCAGTAAACGTATTTTAACCTTTAATTGTGGCTTAGTCCCATTTAAATAGTAATTACTTTAAAATGCTACAAGAAAATAGCTTCAGAACAATACTTTAACATAAAGTGACATGCATGCAAGTGACATTTATGTGACATTTATATGACATTTATATGTTATTTATTTGACATCTGACATTTGACGTAAAAAATTTTGTGGTAAAACATTTGTGGTTCATCTGACATTTATGTAACACTTCAATGACATTTATGTGACATTTTACATTTCTCTTAAATAGTGACATGTTTCGTATACTAGACATGTGAAATTTGTCGTAAAAAGTGACATTTATATGACATTTAATCGAGAGTTGACGTTTGTCATTTAATATTTGGCGTTTATGCAAAATTTATATGACATTTGACATAAAAGTAAATTTAGTTGACAGTAGACAAAAGGTGACATACATGTAACATTCATGTAACATTTTTATGTTATTTATCTGACATATGACATTTTACATAAAATGTGACATTTAATTGCCATTTGACATTAGTAATTTGACTTTTGTCGTTCACGTAACATTGATTTGACATTTATGTGATATTTGACATTTAACATAAAAAGTGATTTATGTGACATTGCGTTGATATTTGACACTTGGCATTCGTGTGACATTTATATGATAATTGACATAAAAAGTGGCATATATGTAACATTTAATTGAAATTTGTCATAAAATGTGACATCCAAGTGAACTTTATATGTCGTTTAGGTGACATTTGACATAAAAAACATTTATGTGACATTTTATTAACATTTGATATTTGTCATTTGACATTGGGCGTCCATGTGACATATTTGTTAAATTTATATAACGTTTATGTGTAGTAAGACAACCATTTTAAATTTGTTTTTAATTATAGCTATTGCAAAAGAAGCTCTCATAAAGGAAATAAGTATAATGGAAAGTGACACGAGCTCATTTGCAGCGGACTTCAGATGTACAGGAGAAGTAATATTTTCTGACTTTGCACTTAACTTAAGACCAAAGCCATATGACGAAAAACTTCAGGATTGTGAAGAATACTTTTTATTAATTATGAAATGTGGAAAAACTGTCTTATCTAGTGATATATTGAGAGAAGTGAAGAACTCGATATATATTTCGAAGGAGTATAAGTTTTCTGAGTTACATTCTAACTTTGAAGTTGACATTAGAGTTTATTCTTTAGCTGTTGAAAATAGGGATACAAACAAGGTAGGTTTATCGTAGGATTCTCGTCAAATAAGACTGTGGAGATGATCTGAAAACGTGGCAGGCGTGAAACATGTTCAGAGTATTTACACATACGCATTTGATACAATAATGGTATAGAGATAAGGGTGGTAGTAGAAACAATCTCGTTTTACCAAATTACTTCCTAACAGGTCAGCAGTACCTTGATACCATTCTTTAATCTATTTTTCGTTTAGTGACTCTTTTATCAAAATATCTACCTGAAGCACGAGAATACTACTCCAGATCGATCTCAGTCCATTAGATCATGTATGGAATATCCTTAAGAAGGAATTACTCTTTAATATATCTTTAATATAAACTAGAAGATCATACTTTATATTAAATTTAATTTTTTCAAATATTGAGATTTTTGTATTAACTACAAGAAGTTTTTTTTTATTATTTATGGATAAGAGTCTAGTATTTCTTTATATTTTTTTAACAAATTTTGTTATATGTATATTCACACCTTAATTTATTTTTCTATAAAAATATTTCTAGACTTTTTCGAGGTGCACAATTATTTTTATTAATTTTACATTAAATGTTATCTATGTTTTTATTTCTTTAATATTTCCAATTTTAACGCTGGATAATTAATATTCCGAAGGATTCGAAATTTGGCACTTAATATTTTTGGCAAACACTAGTTTAAAATAGTCAGTAGCATCTGCTATAGCCAGTACTGTTCTCCTAGTCAGTTAATTGTGTCATAAGCTTAGTATTAAACTTAAATACCGCCCAATTTTTTTTAATCCTGTAACCAATATGTCCAAATTTCTTTAGTTGAAAATCGAAATATATGGAATCGAAATATATCGAATCAAATGAAATCGAAATATATCTAATCGAATGGAATCGAGTCAAATGAAATCTATTCGAATAAACTCGATTCCATCAAATCAGATGGAATCGAATCGAATACAATCTAATCGAGTGAAATCGAATGGAATCGATTTGAACGAAATCGAATTGAATGGAATTATGAATGAATTTTATTCGAATGGAATCGAATCGAGTCGAATTTAATTAAATGGAATAAAATCAAATCCAATCGAATAGAATATAATCGAAAGAAATCGACATGTATCGAATCGAATGCAATCGAATCGCATGGAATCGAATCGAATGAAATTGAATCGAATGGTATCTTATCGGATAGAATCGAATCGGAACGAATGGAGTTGAATCGAATAGAATGAAGTCGAATGGAATCGAATACAATCGAATGGAATCTGATAGAATAGAATCGAATGCAATCTAATGCAGACGAATGGAATCGATGGGTTCGAAGGCAATCGAATTGAATTGAACGGAATCGATTTAAGTCGAATTGAATATAATTGTGTAACGAAAGCGAATGACATCGAATGGGATCAAATCGAATGAATTAAAATCGATTCGAATGGAATCTAATTTAGTGAAATCAAATGGAATCAATTATAAAAGAATCGAATCTAATCGAAATAAATCGAATGGTATCGAATCGAATGGAATTGAATCGCATGGAATCGAATCGTATATCGAATCGAATGGAATCGAATCCAATCGAAGCGAATCAAATCGAATAGAATGGAATCGATTGCAATCTAATGCAGTCGAATTGAATCGAATAGAATATAATTGAATGGAATGGAATCGAACGGAACCGAATGGAGTCGAATAGAATCAAACTGAAGAACATTACATCGAATGGAATATAATGGGATCTAATTAAATCGAATTAAATCAAATTGAATCGAATTCAATTAATTTAAATTAAATTAAAAACGCTTAAAGTACGTAGACTATAAGAAAGCTGTGGAAAAGCTCCTTGGTCACTGCCGGAGTACCACATCCCGTTTATCGTTTGTGAAAGCTGTGGGTATTTCTCAAAATTTTGGTTTAACATGGTTATCGGCATTCCTTGTTACCATCGAGACCTAATTTAAGGCATTTGATCTCCACAGCACCATTGTTCACTATCCTTGAATTAGGATTACTCAGAAAATCTGCAGCTTGACGCAATATGTATAATATCTTTTTGATAACATCTTTATCATAACTTTAATATTATTATTATTCAGTAAATTGGTAAATTATTTTGCATATTTAACTGTTGACCTTTCTGTTTTAGGATATTTATTGCCCATCGCCTAAAAGTATATTAAAATGTAATAAAAATCCCAAACCAACTAGGTTCATTCCTACAGAAAACGTTGCATTTACTCCTTTAGGCAAGAGCTGCATAAAAAACACAGACATTCCAAAATCCAAAAATGGACAAGTACAAATGAAATGGAAACTTTTATCAAATTCCTCTCTACAGCAAACTTTTAACGTAAAAATTAATTCAAATTTCCAGTTATTCAATAAACTAAACGGTTTCCTCACTCTTGCAATAGATCGGGGAGTTATTAATTGGAATAGAAGGTGGTGTGTGTTAGAAGGATTTGTTTTAAAATATTGGAATTATCCTTCCGAAGAGTCCTCGGAGCCTATAGATATTGTGGATATTAGATATTGTACAGTGGAACATGTCGCACTAGCAGATAGAAGTACTTGTGCCCGATCTCGAACACTCTTATTGCCAATAAAATACCCAAATGGATTAAAAATGTACTTCTTGTCAGCTGACAGTCAAGCAGAGTTAGAATTGTGGGAAAATGATATTAATTTTGTAGTTCGGTCATTGCTATTGTGGGGAGCTATGAAAAATAAGGTTTTTTAAATGTCTGATGTAGATTCTTTGTTTAATGTTACCAATATTTTTTTAAGTTTTTAGCATAGACTCTCGTATGAGTATCATTCGTGTGTATTATAATAGATTAAGTTTGTTACCTACAAATATGGTATATTTTCGTACTTAAATGTTGTGTTTGACATTTGTATTTTACATGTATTACGATGTTTATTCGACAAATAAAAAGTAAAAAAAAAATAAAACTAGACAGATTTAATTGATTCCTAAAAATCTAGAGAATATGACATTCATTTGAATCTTCGTACTGGTGGCGATGTACATCTCCCCAAACATCACTTTGTGGGAACATTAAAACACTGTTGATGATATAGCGAACCACATAGCCGGAAAAGAGAAGTTAGTAGTAGCAGGAGACCTCAACGCAAAGTTAATACTTTGGGGAGCACCCGTAAACCATTAGAGGAGGATACATTGATTGAAAGGGAACAGCGAAACGCACATCGACACAACGATGGCAACAACCGCGATTAAAAGAAAGCAAAGCAGAAGAAGGGGAAATCTTCACACATCATAAATATATGCTACACAAATTAAGGAAAAATTAAAAAACAATGGATGGGAAACGAATTAAATCCATTGATAAGAAAAATTAAAAAAAAAAGAATTACAGGGAATGGGGGAACACCCAAATAATTTTGAAGCTAGATATGAAAAAATTAAGGAGTTGGCCGAGAGATGTTGCCAAGGTAAAGAAGAATGAGCACCAGCTCATACTGGAGGATAGAGATGCCGTCAAGATTCGAGAATCTCATATTCGAGACAAAACTTTTTTTTATTAAGTTTCAAGACGGGACGAGATATTGGGCTAGGGATTCTCGAATATTGAAAAATTGTTTTATTTTTTTTTTGTAAAATATTTCTAAACTGATAGACATTATGAAAATGATAGAAGGTAACAACGAAAGTGTTGGTTTTCACCAATTTACAATTCTAGTGAACCTACTAAATTATTTGATTATGCCCTAACTGAAGAGGTTCATTTTGATATAGTTTATGGCCTAATGGTACGTAAATTTCTAAAAAGGTTACAAAGAAATAAATTTCAAAATTTTAAGGAACTTTTAGTGGAATCTCTAGAAATTTAAGCATCCTTAAAAGGAGGTTTAGTTAATAATGACTCTGGTCGTCGACAGAAACCTCAATTAAATCAATAAAAGGACTCTTACAAAATAAAATTCAGACCTAAATGTACGTTTCTCCTCCTCCAGTGTAGATTATTATGGTTGCAATAATTCGGTTTTATTCGCATAAATTGTCGTAACTGTAAAATTTCTGTAAATCCTATTACCACAGAAGCAGCCTCTTCTATATAGAGCTTCTTTTAGCAGAAATTAACAAATTGAATAGTCGTCCCCTCTTATCAATAAGCGTCTTAGGTTTGAGTGGTTGCGTATATGTTGATACTGGAGTTAAATGTACTACAGCTGGAATTAAACGTTACAATTATTTTGTAAACAAAGGTCTACACTATGTTTCTAAGGAAAAAAATTTAGTACTTGCTGACGGTGTAAGCCGCACAATAACAGTTCATATTTTTGAATATCCACAAGGAATCTACGTTCCTGTAGTTGGCTGTATACCATATATTAAAAATCCTTTGTAAAAGGTATATATTAAGAAACCAAACGGGCTAAGTTAAACAGACAAAACGTTTTCGGAATCCATATTCCATCAGTGTCTAAAAGTACATAAATGTAGCCACTAAATATATGGGTAGAAACCCATTAACAAATAATTAATTACATTTAGTATACAAAATTTCTTATAATTATTTAAAATGTTAAAGTTACCGTTGAATTAGGTAACATGGCGACATATGACTCCACTTTGAAGTTGCTAGTTTCGAGACGGTGTGTCTACAAAGACTGTATGTTGCTCTCATACAGTCTTCGTAGACACACCGTCTCAAGACTAGCAACTTCAACGTGGAGTCATATGTCGCCATGTTACCTAATCCAACGGTAACTTTAACATCTTAAATCATTACAAGAAATTTTGTAAACTAAATGTAATTAATTATTTGTTAACGGGTTTCTACCCATATATACTTCATCTAATTTAGATAACGACTTACGTCATGATCTACGTCAGAGATCGAAGTTGACATAGTTGCCAAAGTATAAAAAAATCCTGAATCCATTTTAAATCAAATAGGTTACATAATGATTGCAACAGTATTGCCATCTCTTTACACTGACTATTTAAATTCTTAAATGATATTTTTAAAATAAAACACACTAATTTTGTTCTAAAAAGAACAGATTTTATTAAATAGTTAAAAATATAAAACAAGAGACATTCACTTTAAAATTCAAAATAATAAAGTACAAAAAGTGTCAACACCGCAACTGTCAAGTAAGTGTTACCAATTTATGCCAAAATTTTACCTTCGTTCGATTACAGTTACAGTGTGTTCCGAACAAATGTTCTTGAGAAAAATGCTTTATAATGCATTTATACAAATTAAATGAAACATATTATTGTGTATTTCTTTAAGTTAACATCAATAGAAATTTTTAAATATTATTTCTACGCGTATATAATAAAATATGTCTAGTGGCTGTAATGCCAGTGTACTCGGTAAAGTGATTCTAAAAAAGAACACACCTACCGTCTAAATATTTCGTGTTGGTATCATGTGACTTCACAGGCTATGACGCCGATGACGTACGTCGTTATATAAATTAGATGAAGTGTATTTAGTGGCTACATTTATGTACTCTTAGACACTGATGATGGAATATGGATTCCGAAAACGTTTTGTCTGTTTAACTTAGCCCGTTTGGGTTCTTAATATATACCTTTTACAAAGGATTTTTAATAAATATTTTTGAATGTTCGACTTTTTAAAAAATTCTTACATCATCATTTGCTGATTCTCCTGATATACAACGTAAATGATTACGAGAACCTAACTCTTGCAATCCTTTAACAATGTTTGATACATCAGTACAGTGGAGTTTTTATGGAACATGATGAACCTACACCATTGGCTGAGTATTGTATTAATTTAACCAGTGATATTTCAATCGCTGTGCCTCCTTACAGAATAACGCCTCAGTAAGCAGAAATACTAAAAAATGAAATCTATCATTTATTGGAAAAGGAAATCATTAATGAATACGACTCAGCTTATGCTGCACCTACTGTTTCAGTTCCAAAAAAGACGGTACTTTTCGCATGTGCGTTGATTACAGGTGTCTTAACGAAATAACTGTACCAGATAGGTATCCTCTACGGAGGATGGATAATCTATTGCATGCGACCACACGGACACTATTTATGACAACACTAGATTTGAAAAGTGGTTATGATTAAATAAGTGTTCGTCCATTAGATCGAGATAACTCCTTTTGGTATTTTTAAAATCAATCGTATACCTTTTGGTCTCTGAAATGGACCCGCTTAGTAGCGGATTACCAAGTATTGCTATTTTGGCATATTTAAATGATATTATTTTATCTAGCTCATTTGAAAATAATATCAAAGGTCTAGCTAATGTGTTTTAAAGTTACAAGTATTGTGCATAAATAGAGCAAAATGTAGGGGAAATGTGCCTATGATGGTCCCGTTAAGAAAATAGCCTCATAATAATTTTAATTATTTACTTAGCAGACTTTAAATATGACCACATAACGCCTCGATATTTGTACAATATGGCAAATGTTTCAAATTTTGCAGAAAAAGTGATGTTAAAAATTTATTCATAATTTACTAAAATCCTGTTAAGGGTCCATCATGGGCATATATGCGCTCATGATGGACCCTTTGGTACGCCCATGATGGACTCATTGCATTTTGTGTAAAATAATTAAATGCCAAATTATTTTATTAGATCAAAAGACATTACAAACGATAAAAAATATTACACATGGTATTTTTAAGAATAAAAAATTACGCGCACAATTCACACACAAATTGTTTATGTCGAGGATTTACATCTGCACATTCAGTGTGACACCAATTCTTACACACTTGACAACGAATCCATTGTTGTATATTTATATTGTTCTAATTTATTTGTCTTTATTCTTATTTATTGTCTATATTCTAATTTATTAAAACTCACGATAACTAATTACTAATTTATTAAATAGCTGTACAAATGTATTTATGTCACGTTTCGTTACAAGTAAACCGCGTTTCCCGATCTTCTTATGACTGCCCGCCAAATAAAAAATCTTTCATTTATATACACAACTGTTGTCATCTAGAAAATTCGGCGAACTTCTTGAATAATCTCGTATTTTGGTGAAGGCGCTCGACTCGTTTTTCAACTGTTCGAAAAGCCTCGAGACGTGGATTACTCATAAAATTAGGGTCTAAAGGTTTCTGTAAACAACTCCGAATTTACTGGAACAGAAAACAGAATTAGTCATAATATATTGATAGTTATAAACGCCATAATTATCGTTACATTGCCCCCCTCTTAAAAGATGGTTCCTCCTGGAACCTTGTCGGGACTGGAACTGAAACGGTATGCTGGTATCGGCAACTGGACCCTCTTTTACAACTTCCAGTTTTATAAAAATGACAAGGGACGGTTTTCTCTCCGCACCAGTAACTATGCGGATTGCAACAGACTAACACCTGGACTTCGGTGTCTCTAAAGATCTCCTCCACCATACTTCGAATAACCCTCCAATCTAATTGGTGGCACTCTAACTTTGGCATGGCTAACTTTTGCACGTCGGACTCTAGTACGTGCTCTCTCAACTGAAGTAAGGCTTCCCATACATCTCGGTAGGTAGGTTGGTCACGGGCAGTGTCTTTTGTTACCAGGTAGAAAAGGTAACGTGATGCATCTTGGAGTTTCAAGGTTTTACCGGAGCTGGCACTTGGCATTGAAGTTCTGCAACTCGACCAAATTTCCTTCGAAAGACGGATGCCAACCCTGGTGCGTCTTTGATACTGGCCGGGATGGTAAGGGCCAGTGAGTAGTCATCGGGAAGCGCGAGTAGATCCTGCCTTTCTTCAGTGGTAACACC